TCTAACATTATTTAAGTCTGTAAGAAATGGGAGAAATCATCAGCAATTTTTTAATATAATGAATAAAGGACTAGAAGTACCTACTTGACAAACCAACAAGGCAAAACCAAGACTGCAGAAAATAAAAAGTAAAGCAGAATAACCTATGGTGCATGCTGACTTATTCTCTCCCAAAAGCATCACGTGCCTAACTCATCACTTACATGTCCCACTCATAAGTCTATTACACAACTGCTTTCCAACACAACTGAAAAAACAGCACTTTTGCCTTTAGATCTCTTCACTAACTATGGCATGCCGCACCTAACAGAGTTAAAATGGATTTATTTGCTTCACATTTATGAACTTTATTTAAATAAGGTTCCCCGGCACAATGGCGTTAATCCTCCTTAAGGGAAAATGGAAACACTTGTCACATAATCCTTGCTCAGCTGAAAACATCAGAGGAACTGGCTTAAAGACACCCCTTTCAGTAAAACCCTTTGGCTTCGGGAATCTGTATGTCATGTTTCCTGTAGTGGCGTATATCTGCTCTTGTGTTCATCAGTCAAAAGAAGCAGAAAACCTTCCAAGTCTAGCAGCAACATCCTGGCATGAAGCTGCTGTGACAGAGGAGTCAGGTCTGTCACTGTTTTGTGCTGATGGTACAGCCGCTTACAGACAAGGCTTTACAGAACCTTAATTACTTTCAAACACTGAGTTTAATACTCCCCCTTCTTACTCGGCAGTGCACTAGGCTGTCTTTGACACAAACACTTGTAAATGAGTATGTTTTACAACTCAATAATTAATGTCCATAAGCTTTGCTATGAAAAAGTAACTCCTCTTAACCAGCAGCGTGCTGTCTTCAGATAGATAAAAGAAGTCATGATGTATTAATTTCTGTCAATATGGGTAGCTTTTACTAAAAAAAAAGCAGTCACTCTGGGACTCCATTGTAAATGCAATATTTAACATGACTATAAAACATGCTTATAAAAAACACAGAGAAGTTTAACTTCAGCTTCACAGATGCAAAGAAAAATAAAATCACTTTAATTCCTGGCATAAATTAAATCGTTGCAGTTGAAATACTGAACGAACCTCCAGTTCTTGCCCTTCACCTGGCAGATGAATCTATAGCAATCAGCTCAAACTTCAGCGATAGAAAAGATGCCATGACTTTTCCCCGTACATCATGTGTAAAGGCAGATGGGAGCACCAAGGGTGGCTACCTCTCAGCGCTTGCTGCTTCCTCCTTTCCTTTCCTTTCCTTTCCTTTCCTTTCCTTTCCTTTCCTTTCCTTTCCTTTCCTTTCCTTTCCTTTCCTTTCCTTTCCTTTCCTTTCCTTTCCTTTCCTTTCCTTTCCTTTCCTTGCCTTTCCTTGCCTTGCCTTTCCTTGCCTTGCCTTGCCTTGAATTTCCTTGCCTTGCCTTTCCTTGCCTTGCCTTGCCTTGAATTTCCTTGCCTTGCCTTTCCTTGCCTTGCCTTTCCTTGCCTT